AATTAAAAATTAATTTTTATTTTTTAATACAAATTTATAATTTAAAAAATATATTTAATACATTTTTAACTTATCTTATAGACAAACTCAAATTATAAAAGGGCCTACCAAAAGGTCGCCACTCTCTCACTTTTATATTTTCTCTAATTCCCTCTTTTTATCTTTATTTCTTTTCTTTAAAAATTTCTTTATTTTCTATAATCTTAAAAGCAGTAATTTGACGGGTTCAATGGCGAGTTTAATAGGTCCAACCTCCAAAGTGTGATGAAAGGTACCTGAGATCAATGACAAACCAGATTTCATATAAAACATTACCATAAAACAGTCCCTGACAATTGTGACAAATGTAGTCATACCGGCTGTTGACATCAAACTCTTTAAGCCAGTGATTTTTCAACTAGAGATGCATGAATTCAACAGTACTCAATACAAGTAAATTGGATATTAAGGTAGCGATTAAACACGAAATTATATTTCTTCATTTTCTTTTTTCGGTACGGGCAAAGGTCCTTGGAAGAGAGAAAAGAAAAGAAGTGAAGAAAAACAAATTAAAGAAAATATGTAGTTGGGAGAGTCACGACTTTCTTGTGGACCCTTCTATAACTTTTTAAATGTTATCCTTAATAAAAAAAAGTCGTGAATGTGATGCAATGTTGGGGAGAGGAAGGTCACTTGTCATTGGACATTGGATGTAATTGGAAAAACAGATATTTAACATTCGTCGTCAACTTGCCATTATAAATTCGTTAAATTGGGACTATTTTACTTAAATTGTAAAATTTGGAGCTAATAGTAATACCCTTCAATTTTAGGGTTTGTTTGCTTGAGAAACTTTCTTTCTTAAAGTTCTCTAAATTTTCCTTTTTATAAAATGATTTATATGCTTTTACATAATAATACTAAAAAAATTAAAGATAAAAGTGACGTTTTTAATAATTATTTTCTCATATATAATTTTTAACTCGTAAAGGTCTTCTTTTCCCACTTCTTTTGCTAGGAAAAAGTTTCCCTATATTGGGTCTGTTTAATAATTTTTTCTCATTAACTTTTTCTATGTCAATTATTTACTAAATACAACAATATTAATAACCCAATAAAATTTTAGTAAAATTCATTACCAAATTTAACAAATTTTTATATGGTTCTTTCTAATTTTTTGTATAATACTTTTCTAACTACTTTTTTAGTAAGAATTTTTTTGATAAAATGATGCTTTAACCAAATCAAACGGGTCTTAAGGTGAAGAGGGCAAATGACCTTAAATTGTATAAGTTTAGGGACTAAATAAAGGTACAAAAGAATGAGAAAGTTGAAAATTATTTAAGATTTGCTGATTGATACTCATTTTTTATAAAGCACTGCAGTAGATCATTTCATATGCTCTTTTGATTTTTTGTCAATCCTTTATAGAGGGATCTGGCAAGTTTTATTCCTCAAAATTCCATCAAAAGGGATACAAACAAGCTACACTCGGACAAACCGAGGAAATACATTTACCACCTCATCTCAATTTTTTGTTAATCCTTTCATTTGATAATGATAAGGTACTGCATTTTTGTTGCAATATTTTCTCTTTTTTCTTTTTAATTAAATTTATTATTTTAAATCAGCTATACTATCACAAAATTAAATTGTCTCTTGGATAATTTCATTTCAACAGAGGAATTGCTGACTTTCATTTAATTATAATCTAATTATGATAAAAATGTTAACACTTGTGTTCTAAAAAGGGCTAATTGAGGTTATTGTCACCAAAAATTTTATTTAGAACATCAATTTTAATTGTAATTTTATCAATTTATAATTTTTTTTAAACAGCTGATTATAATATTTGAAAATATTTGTTTATAAACTAATTTTAATATGTTAAATAATAAATATTAATTATTTTATCAATTATGAATTGTTTTTAATAATCAAATTAAGGTGAAAATTAATTTTAACATATTTAATGGTGATCATAACTATATCCTCTAAAAAAATTCCAAGTTAAATGAGTTACTAACATAAAACATGCGCCAAAGTAGTGTGGCATAGGATAATTTAATTTATTTTCTTTGCTGGAAATTTTATTTTTTTTATTAATAAAATATAAGATATAAATTATTAATTTTTAAAATTTGAAGCAACAAAAAATGAACTCAAGACGCCTTACACTTAAAACAAAAATCAATCTACTAAACTAAATATTATTTAATGAATGACTAAATTCTCAAATATTTTTACTTTTGAATTAAGAAAATTATACCACTTAATATATTTTTTGTTTAAAAATAAAGGGTGAAAATTTAATAAATGTGTATTCTAAGAGTAAAATATAAATTTTAAAATAAAAACCTTAAAAGCAAAAAAAAAAAAAAAAAGAATGATCAATGATAAAAAAAATTTATAAAAAAATATCCTTTTTCTATCTAAAAAAATAAAATGTAAATGTTTAAAAATAACATAAAATTTTGTTAGGTTTGGTGTTATGATTTTTCTTTAAATTTAAGAGGGTTTAAATTCAACTTTAGTTAGTATTAAAAATAATTTTGTTATTATTTATTTAGTAATCATAATAAGATGTTAAAAATCACACATGAAATAAATGAGTTTTTTTGTGTACTGTTGTCTTACTCTTTTTCTGTTTAAGTATTTTTACTTTATTTTATTTTCAATTTTTAGGTGATTAATTAAGTTTAAACATTGCATTATTATTTAAATTTCTTACTTTGAAATTAAAAAAAAAAAAAGAAGCGTCTGGACCTGTTCCAATTTCCAAGTTAGCTCCAGTCTAGGCCATTTACCTGTGTGTGGCTCATGGTATGAGGTATCGCTTTCTTTCAGAAGTAAGTGACGGCATCCGAGGATGTGAAATTCGAGTTTAAGTTTGACATTTCTTCATTTTTTTTAAGAATAAATATTAATAATATTAATATAATTAATTAATTATTACGCGAAAAAAAGAAGAAGAAGAAGAAGCTAGTTCCAGTCTAGTCTCGCATCGAAAAACCCAACCCAAGTTTAGACTCGGCTCGTTCGCACCAGGACCGGGTGAACGGGTTTGGTCCCAGTCTTTTACTTAAAACCACACATCCAGACCGCCGAGACGCAATCCCAGGTGAAACCCGACCATAAACACTGACAGATCGGCAACACTGGACGCAACCCAAACTCAATCAGATCGAGTAGAGAACGTTCGTCTCCGACAGCCACATTACCGGACCAGCCAGACAGCCTCGGCATCAAACGGGAAAAGCTCCGACGAAACCCCAAGAGAGGAGACAAAAACCCTCACGGACTAATCTAGTACGTTTTTTTAATATTGTTAAATTTATTTTCCATTTCTTTCAATTTTGATAGCAATTGAGTATTCATGATTTTTTTTTTTTCAATAAAAATTATAATCAAGAACTTTCTAAATGAGTTCGGTTGCCCTTGCTTTGCTACAAATAGAAACTCAGAGTTAAAATCATAATTTTTCAATGCAATGTTATGTCATACAATTAAAACTCCAAATGAAAACACTCAAACTCAGATTAAATTAGTAAGTAACTCCACAGTTTGGGCACACATTGTTCAAATGGCAATATTAGAACTGATATCTTAAATGAAACTAGTGCATTGCAACCGCAATGTAACATACATATGTGGAGCAATGTTTCTCCTACACACAAAATACACAAGGTGAAAGAAAAGCTTTGTTATGGCTTGCTAAACTACTATTGTGAAACAAATGTATTGTCAATTCGCCATCTTTGCTACCTTAATTGAAGAAGTCACCTAACTCTACCTCGAACCAGCCATCTTCCCTCTCTTGTGGGTACTTCTCACCACCATCTCCTAGAATTCTTCTTGCCTGCACATATATAGTTCTTGAAAACCTGCCTCATTTAAGTCGTTAACTACATTTTCCACACCATTCCCCACTAGATGTAGTTTGTTTGTCTCCTTTAGCAACTTGTTAACTGAATGCTGTGAACTAACTATTTCATTTAGCAATAGTTTCAATAATTTTTGAACTTCCACAAGAATTAATTGTCCCTGTAGTTCCACTTGTCTTCAATGAAAATCATGTAACTTAGCAAATTTTCAGAGACGAGGAATCATCTGGACGAGGAATCATCTGGATATTGTAGATATTAATGCATATCTCCACTATCTCAAATAACATCAAATAGTTAGGAGATAGTTAGCAAATATACCAGATCTGATATTCCCGTGGCATCAATCTGGGTGTTTATCATTCTCTGGATCATAACAGCAACATATCTGTCATGGCATAATCGTAGTCACTTGTTCAAATAATTTGACACACGGTATCATCAAACAACTTTGCAGTTTATGGTGTAAACACATTGATGGAAACAAAATCTTATTATTTATTTACTGCTAACTCTCCTGATCTCTATGCCTTGAATAATGATACCATCATTCCAGTGACCAGCCAACAGCAAAGTACCCATTTCCAATTTTATTGTCTTTGCCTCCTGTATCTCTGTCTTCATTCTTTATCTCTATTCAAAAGCACAGTTCATTTACAACCTTCAGTTTCAACAAGTCCAACATTTACCTCAAGAAGCTGGTACTCAAATCCATAAGCTGTCTTTGTTGCCTTGAACACAAGGTAAGCCTTATAATGTGTCAGATGAGGGGTTTTCCCACCCAAAGAGTTTAGAGGGTTGTATGCTACTAATTTAGGTCGAGGGGCTAATTTGTGTCCTCTCTCTTGATTGCCTATATTAGAAAGTTTTAAGTCAAAACATAAAAGACATAACTTATGAGCATTATTTTGTTGTTATCTTTTCATTTACTTTTACATTACCTTTCATTAATTTTCCTTGTGGTGCCATTTTGTTTATATATTTTATTATTATATTTATGTATCTACCTATATTTGTCCTCATTTTCTTTCTCTCGCTATATATACATTAACAATTTGTTTGTTGTTATTTTTTCTCCTCTTATCCTTCTACTATATTATTCTTTTTAGTCACTCCTTGCACATTTATCAATCATTGTATATCTTTTTACATTCCAATTCTCTCTCTCCCTTTTTCTATATTAGACATGTTCTAAATCAAAACTTATAGGGCACAACTTTTTAGTATTATTTCATTGGTACCTTTGTACATACATACCATTACTCCCATCTCTTATTAATTTTTCTAGTGACACCATCTCTTAATTTATCCTCTCACCTTTACTCACTCTAAAATATATTTGCCCTTTACATAACTATATTAATAATTTGTTTGTTATATTGTTTCTCTCTTTATCCTCGCCCAACATTATTCTTACTTAGTTACCCCTTGCATCTCCATCTATTATTATATATCGTTTTAACCAATTTTTCTTTTTTTTTATCTGTCATTAAATATTTTTTTTGTTTTCTCAAGATTACAATAACATTAAATAGCTTCAAATCACAAATAATGTAGTAATATTTGCAATGAATTTATAAACATATCCGCAAAGTTATCAATTTTAACCAATACAAGATATAAAGCCTACATTATCTCCCTCCTTTTCCCCCTTTATATTACTAAGTTATTCATTATTATTCTTTCTCTCATTATCCTCTCATCTCTATAATTCTTTCTTAGTTATTCCTTTAAATATTTTATATATCAAAATATATCTATTATTTTACACCATTTTTTCTGTGTTGATACTTTTTTCACTTACCTATGGTTCACCTTTTATTAATTTTTCTTGGGATTCCATCTTGTAGCTTATTCTCTCACATTTTATATTTAACTGTTTATGCTACATTGACTCTCATTCTCTCTCTCTCTCTCTCTCTGTATATATATATTTATATATATATATTAATAATTTTTTTTGTTATTAAATTTTTCCCTTTTTGTCCTAATTTCCTCAACATCAGTCTTTCGTAGTCGCTCCTTGCATCTCTATTTATTATTATATATCATCTTTACCCTAATTTCTCTCTTTTTCTTATTGAATATATTGAAAGTCTGTAAGGGCTTTTATTTTACCATTTCATAATTTTTTGATATGTCGTTTAGACTTTCAATACAGAGAATGGGGTAAAACATTTTTAGGTTCCTAGTAGGTGTTCTTACTTCCCATCTATGCTTAGGTGCTTCATTTAGAACCCATTCTGTACTTTTCAAACTGGTCTTATAAGTTGATATAGTTATTATCAAGTGATAGTTGATATGCATCAGTTACACATACTACAATTTGTAGCTATTCAAATTTTTTGATATTTTAGTAATCATTATTAAGAAATACAATCATCCATAATTATTTACATCTTAATCATTACTCCCTTAGTCCAAGAATAATTGAGTAAATAAGAATCAATTTGCGAAGTGTCACTTTGAATATAATATAATTTGTTTCTATGCTAAACACATTATATAATTGAAGTAGAAGTTGGATTATATATGTGGATAAGTTGTTTTCAATTTTAATAATATGTAGATGTAAAAGTCAAATTATCATATGATAATTAAAGTGGAATTTAATAAAAATTAGTAAGAGGTTTGATATAATTAGAGTATTGTGAAGTATTATTATATGGAGAATTAGTCTAACAAGGAATTATATGTATTGTGCTAGTCATGAAATTTGAAAGAGAAATAATTTAATTTAATTGGGTTTAAACTTTCTCAATGAAGTTTTTTTAGGAGGTCCATTTGGTATTTATTTGAGATTTTAGAAAGATTTTAAAGGGCTCTTTGAGTATTTATTTAGTATTTATTGAAGATTTTAACAATTTTTATAATATTGTATATTGGACTTGAACAATAATTATATAATTAAAGTTGTAGAATTATTTTGGAATTGGAGTTTCTCAATCAATTGAAATAAGTATGGAAAGAGAAGTTATTTGGTTCTTTTTTTTTTTTTTCTTTTTTTGCCAAATCAATTTGTGGAATCAAATTGAAGTCTTGATAATTAAAATCATAATTATATTTATAATTATTTATTGAAGATTTTAAAAGGCCCTTGGGTATTTATTTGAGATTTTGGAGGGTTTTAACATGACATTGGATATTTATTGAAGATTTTAATAATTTTTATAATATAGGAAAATAATAAGAAATAATTAAAGTAGTCAAAATCAAATTGAAGTAGAATTGTATTAAAAGGAAAGATTATTATTGAAAATATAATACTATTGAAGATGTGTATGAAAAGATAATTATTGAAAATATTATTGACTTTGGATTTTAAATGACTCATCGGGTATTTATTTGTTATTTATTGAAGATTTTAAAAGGTCTATTGGTATTTATTTGGTATTTATTAAAGATTTTAAAAGGTTTGTTGTTTTTATTTGGAATTTATTGAAGAATTTAACAATTTTTATAATATATAAGAAAGATTATATTGGTTTGGTTGGGAAAATGATCAAACATTGAACCGAACCAACTGTGAACACCTGTAATTACAAATCTCAAATGGTAAAACAACTCTTTGTTATGGGAATAATTATTGCCATCAAATTGTTAAAACCCCCAAATTTAGGACTTAAGTTCCATATTTAATTAGGTGAATAAGCCTGTAAGTTGAAAGAGCAATGTCTTCCGCTCTCTTCCAAAAAATGAGAGTTTCTGCATCCTGAATGGGATTCGTCACTGGGTGTTCCTATCCTCTGTTAGTCTTCTAACTTCAATCGTTTTTCTTCTCCTTCATTGTATATACCATCACATCTTTCATTGCATTCCATATCATATTTCTTCATTTTCCCTTTTGGCATCAAAACCCCAAAAATATTTTCTTTGTTGTTCCTTTTTTAACCTTCATCATAAACCCTAGAATCCAAATATCATGCTTTGAACCCCTGGTTATAGCAGTTTGCAGTGGGATTTGGGTTCTAAACCAAATTGGAGATCATCTCAGATCCTTTCCCCAAGAGAGTATCTTCATCCTGAAGGCTTTGATCAGGGTCAATCAACATTTGATTGAAGTTATACAAAGCTTCACTTCAAGTCGATGATCCACCCAACTTGTATTGGCCTATCAGAAAAGTATAAATCTTGGAGTTTTAGCCTAGGTGTCCTTCCCTTGGAAATTTGGTGAACTGAAAAAGCTGGATTGTGTAAAGGGATACTGACAATCTGGATTCATTCCTTGGTGTTCCAGGTTCTCTTTTGCTCTATTTACCTGTTTCTGCAGATGTTTATGCGTTTTCAGTTTCATAGAGGGAAATTATTTTCAGAAGAGTGTGTTATCAATTAACCATGGATTAGTAGCAATCAGGATATTATTTCATGAGCCTGGGTTAATTTCCTTGAGTTATGCTGTTAGAATTGTAAGTATTTTGTCTAAGATGCTGTTGGGAATATTTCTATTCATTAAGAAAATGTGTTTGTGCAATTTTTGACATAGTTTCTTCATGTTCAAAGTATGGATGCAAATGAATTTGTATGATCCTTTAGGGGCAGATGTATGTATGAGAACCATGTCTTGTTTTGGATTCTCAATCCCAGTAGCTCTTATACTTATGACTAGCAAGATTGGGAAGGTTGTTTTGAAGGACTACATTGATGATTATGGACTCCTGGAGGATAGTTTAAATTATGAGATTGTTTGCAATTTTGGTGATTTAGGTTGTTCTTTTCGGAAAAGAAAAAATATATGTTATATGGTCGATTCTCTACTTGATGATGGCAAGGAGTTGTTTTAGGGCAATTTGGAGTGGGTGTCTCAGCTGGGAGAGGTATGGGTCCATGGTAGCAAGATCTTTATCTTTCCATGTCACCTTATACTTACTCTGGTGGTCTTTCTTTTCCCCCATTTTTTGTCATAAGCAGAAACGGACTCCTTGTATGCTACTGCTCCACTGTGATCTCTCTGCCCCTGCTCAATTTGGTTTTTCCTCTGTTTCACTATAATATAAGGTCTCTCCTTGGAGGTGCTGTTTTGCTTTGCACAATTAGCTAGTCTCAACTCCTTGGTTCCCCTCTATGCTTCTGTATTTCCTATGACTAAAGATGAAGCAGATGATATGCTTTTCAAACAAGGCCTGTTATTAAGAGGATGTACAGCTTCTGGCAGGAGCTTCCCCGTCCTCGTCTCCTTTTTGCAGGATTTCATCAGGGTGTTTTGGTGTTTTGCTTTTGTTCCTGTTTTTTAAGTGCTATTTTTCCTTTTGTATGGGTCTTTTATTTAGCTTATATATAAGCATGTTTGTTGGCCAACAAAAAATAAAAAAGGGCCTGTAAGGTCATATGAAGATAGAAGTCATATTTGGTTTGTGGCAATAACCATTTTAGTTTGTTTCTCTTAAGATATCTAAAGTTTTGTAAACATCGTCCAGGGCTTTGAGCAATTGATAAGCCCTTTCGTGAAATTCTGTCCATCAGATTGACAGAGGTGAACGAAAATAACCAAGTTGGTGCGATTTCTTTAGTTTCTTGACCGCAGAGGAATAAAAATAGAGATTATAGACCAAACTGATAAAAACTCCATATTTCATTGACCAACTCGATATTTAGCTGAATTAAAATCATAAATTCTAGTTAAAAGCATTCTTTTCTAAGATAATTAAACACTCTAATGACTTCAAACTTAGCAATTAACTCCACAAATTAGCCATACATTGTTTAAATAAAGGTTTAAAGACCGCGCTTAAACAATCTTAAAACTGATCATAATTTAACACGAAAATGGTTATTGTTATGTCCGCAAGATGTATCTCCAGCTATGTTCCTCCCACACAAAATACACGAGGTGAAAGAAAATCTTGTTATGTCCAGCTAAGTTGGCCTGATCTCCATGCCTTGAATAATGACACCCCGCCTGTTGTCCGCAATTTTCTCCACAAGATGTATTTTCAAATCACCACCTCTTTCTTTGGTGCACTCCATTTCACCCAATTCTACCTCAAACCAATTATCTCCCCTCTCTTCTGGGAACTCATCACCATTTCCTGCAATTCCACTTCTCGCCTGCTCGTACACTTGTCGCTTTGAAACTTCAGCTCCACTAAGTAGAATAGCAGCTTCAATAGGTTTATTTTGAAATGCAACTGGTTTGTCCTCCAGCTTGAACACAAGGTAAGCCTTATAACGTGTTTCTGGAGAAAGCATGCGAGTATTAATTCTTCCATGGATTTCAATCCAACACTCAGCAAGAAGCTTTGCAACCTCAGGGAACCTGTTTGCAAGCATGAATTAGAAATATTCTTCTTATCACAAATTTATATATTTTAGGCTGGGAAAGAGACTTAAACAATGAAGCGTCCGTTTGCTTGAATTCTTTTAGTTGTAGGTGTGGGTATGAGTGTGTCCATTGTGTTGTGAGAGAGAGAGAGAGACCTACTCGGGATCAGGTTTGTACCACCTCCAAAAGTCAGGATTATCGCCGAGCCTAATTACGAGGTGCCTGGCAGGTAGCATGTAACAGATCCTCCCACTTCTTTGTATAAAAATATTCTCTGTGCGATGAACGTGATACGATTAAAGACTCAAGTGAAAGAGGAAGCGAGGATCCATAAACATAATCACCATTAATTATTTACATTCCCTACAAGAAGATAATCCTCTGACAAGCATACTCTAGGAAAAGAAACATTGAATACCCAGGCCACACCCATTTGAGTTTTGTAAAATTTTCATGGGTTTGTATATGTTGTATCCTAACCGTACTGATAAAAAGTTATTATTAAATAATAATTATAATTTTTTTGAAAAGAATAAAATTTTATATTAAAAAAATAATTTTTGATTTTTAATTTAAAATTAACCAATAAGAATATAACATATGATATTTATAATTAAAATAAAAAATTAACCTTATTATTTTCAAGACAAAAAAAAAAAACAATTATTACATAATTATTTTCGAAATGTTGAAGATGAAGGAAACTGATACAATACGTTAGTATTCTTCAAAATTAGTTGATTTGGTCACTTAAATTCGAATGCAGGAAGAGAGATTTCCTGATTCAAGAGTGGTCGATAAGATGTTGGTTAGTCTTCCTGATAGATTTGAACCAAAAGTTGCTGCAATTGAAGAGTCTTGTGACTTGAGCAGGCTTTCCATTAAAGCACTCAATGGAAAATTGCAAGCTCATGAAAAAAGACTTGCAATGAGATCTGACAAAAGTGTTGAAGGAGCATTTCAAGCTAAGCACAAGGGGAAATATTTAGTTGCAAGTTCAGATGGGAAGTAGGAAGCTAATAAAGTGGAGAAAGGCAGACAGCAAGTTGAATCTTCTAGAAATTTTGACAAGAAAGACAAATTTCCTCCTTGTCCAAATTGTAGGAAGACAAATCATCTTGAAAAAGACTGTTGGCACAAAGGAAAGCCATAATTTTACTACAAGAATTGCAAGAAACATGGCCATACAGAAAAATTTTGCAAAGCAAAACAAGTGCAATACAGGCCTAGGCAAGTGCAGCAGGCTAATTTCACAGAAGATCAGAATGAGGAAGATTATATGTTTGTGGCTATGCACAGTTGTTTTGTGACTTCAGAGGATTCATGGTATGTTGATAGTGGTTGTACAAATCATATGGTCAGAGATGTGAAGCTGTTTACAAAACTGGACAGGTCTATTCGAACAAGAGTCAAACTTGGCAATGGTTATGTAGTGCAAGCAGAAGGCAAGGGTAATGTCTCAATTTAAACTAAGGAAGGTATTAAAACTATCACTGATGTTCTATACATTCTTAGTTTGAGTCAAAACTTGCTGAGTGTTGCACAATTAATGAAGCATGGATATTCTGTACATTTTAAACAAGACGTATGTCAGATTTTTGATGTGCATGGTTCTGAGGTTGCTAATGTGAAAATGGTTGATAATAGCTTCCCTCTAATGTGGAGTGATGTTAAGCAGCATATTCTGATTTCTAAAGAAGATGAGACTACCTTGTGGCATAGGAGATATGGTCACTGCAATGTTAGAACTTTGAAGTTTTTGCAATCTTCTCAACTTGTAAGAGATTTGCCACAAATTTATGTCAGTAATGATGCATGTAAGAGCTGTCAACTTGGAAAAATTCATAGAACAGCTTTTCCCACAACTAAGGAATGGAGAGCAAGTCAAAAACTTGAATTGGTGCATACTGATTTATGTGGTCTTATGAACACACTTTTTCTCAATCAAAACAAATATTTTCTCTCGTTTATTGATGATTTGACTAGAATGACTTGGGTGTATTTTTTGTCTACCAAGTCACAAGTATTCTTTATTTTTAAAAAGTTTAAAGTGCTAGTTGAGAAGCAAAGTGGCTGCCAAATTAAAACCTTGAGGTTAGACAATGGAAAGGAATATACTTCCAAGGAGTTTGATGTTTTTTTGTGAAGAGCATGGTATAAATCATCAATTAACAGTGAAGTATACACCATAGCAAAATGGTGTTTCTGAGAGAAAAAATAGAACAGTGATGGAAATGGCTAGAAGCATGCTTTTTGAGAAGAATTTACCTAAGAAGTTTTGGGCAGAGGCAGTGCATACTACTATTTATTTGTTGAATGGTCTTCCAACTAGAGCTGTTGAAGATAAAACTCCTGTTGAGGCTTGGTTTGGACTTAAGCCTTCAGCTTATCATTTGAAGGTTTTTGGTTCTATATGTTATATGCATGTTCCAACAACCCGGAGAACCAAGTTGGATGAGAAAGCTGAGATGGGAATTCTAGTTGGTTATGCAGCACAGTCAAAAGGGTACAGAATTTATAATTTGCAGTCTCAAAAAGTGGAAGTGCATAGAAATGTTTTAGTTGATGAATCTGCCTTTTGGAGCTGGGACGATCAGAAAATTATTAAGGAGTCTTATTCTCAGTTAAATGAAGACTCTAATGTTGAACAAAGTGCATCTGCTATTCCTAGACACCAAAATGTTGTTGAAACTGATGATGACTCACCACCTTTGAAGGTAAAGTCACTTGAGGATGTGTATGCTAGGTACAATTTGGTTACTTTTGATCCAACTTGTTTTTTTGAGGCTTCAAAACATGATGAATGGATGGCTGCTATGAAAGAAGAGCTGGCCATGATTGAAAAGAACAAAACTTGGTCACTTTGTCCTAGACCAGAAGGTAAAAATGTGATTGGGGTTAAGGGGGTTTTTAGAACAAAGCTTAACCCTGATGGTTTAGTAAACAAGTACAAGGCCAAATTAGTGATTAAGGGATATGCACAGCAACAAGGAGTAGATTTTTCTGAGACTTTTGCACCAGTTGTAAGGCATGATACTATCAAACTGTTGTTTGCTATTTCTGCTCAAAATGATTGGAAGGTATACCATATGGATGTGAAATCTGCTTTTTTAAATGGTTTTTTGGAAGAAGAAATCTATATTGAGCAATCGGAGGGGTTCCTTGTTCATGGTAGTGAGGATATGGTTTACAAGCTTCATAAGGCTCTTTATGGTATGAAACAAGCTCCTAGGGCTTGGTATAGTAGGATTGATGCCTACTTAATGCAGCAAGGTTTTAGGAGGAGTGAAAATGAAGCTACTTTGTATGTGAAAGACACAAATGGTGATGTACAACTTCTGGTTTCACTTTATGTCGATGATTTTCTGATTACAGGTTCTGATGTTCAGACTATGGAACATTTTATGCTTGTTATGAAGAAAGAGTTTGACATGTCAAATCTTGGAGAAATGAGTTACTTTCTTGGTTTGGAAATCAAACAATGTGGAAATGGAATTTTCTTGTCACAGAAAAAATATGCACAGGATATGATGAAGAAATTCAATATGGGATACAGTAAGCCAATTTCTACTCCTCTTGTTTTGAATTGTAAAATGTCAAAAAATGATGGTAGTGCTTATGTTGATGCATCTTGGTATAGAAGTATCATTGGCAGTTTGCTGTATCTTACTGCTACTAGACCAGATATTATGTTTGTTGCTAGTCTGTTGTCTAGATACATGAGTTCTCCTACTCAAGTTCAATTGAGTGTTGCAAAGAGAGTTCTGAAGTATGTTAATGGTACTATCGATTATGGAATTTGGTTTATCAAGAATGATCATGGTTGCTTATTAGGATATTCAGATAGTGATTGGGCAGGGAGCATAGATGACGATATAAGCACTTTTGGTTACTTATTTCAGTTTGGATCAGGTGTGTTTTGTTGGAATTCTTGTAAACAAGAAGTGGTTGCCCAATCTACTATTGAGGCCAAGTTTATTTCAGCTTTGGAAGCTTCAAATCATGCAATATGGTTGAGGAAAATGCTATCTGATATGGGGCAGCCTCAGTTTGATCCTAGTTTGATTTATGTGGACAATACATCAGCTATTGCAATTGCTCAAAATCCTATGCAGCACAAGAGGACGAAGCATGTTCATGTCAAGTATCATGTAATTAGGCAGTACATTAAGAACAAGCAAATTCAGTTGCTTCATTATAGTTCAGATGTACAACTTGCTGATATTCTTATTAAGTCTTTGCCAAAACAGAGGTTTGAGATGTTGAGAGAGCAGCTTGGAGTTACCAGACTTGCTCTCAAGGAGGAGTGTTAGCGTGTGAGATCAAGTCTCTTAATGTGGTAGTTACAATTAGTTTATTTTGCTTAGTGGTGTAGCCGTTTCTTTTGCAGTTTGTAACTTCTTTTCATTTCAGCAACTGTTATGTATAAGTTTCTTTTCTTTGAAACTGATGTTTGTATGGTTGCTGCTGTTTTTCTGCAAATGTATCAGACACTATTCATGTATTTCAGCAGTGTTTTATGTATTTTCATCATTTCTCAAGTTTAATCCTTGAATTTAAGTTCATATTCACTTGAGTTTTCATCTTTACATCATCACTTTATTACCCCTTCCATCATCTTACAGTTAGAAATCTTGAGCACCATGAGTTGTTCAAAACTCTTAACCATAGAACTTGTCAATAGATACTCCAAATTACCACAACCCTCCACAAACAACTTCTTTAAGTTCTTAATAGAAGCGTTACTTGAAATGTGGCAGAATTTCAAAATGTTAATTGAAGATAGCCTCAAAAATTCCAACTTGGGAAAGTCGACTTGCAAAGGGATTCTTAGATTTTAAAGACAAGAACATTGGTTTTCTTGAAGTTGAGATTTGCAAAATGTCAATTGAAGTTTAGAAATTATATTCTTTTTAGAGTTTAGATTTTGGTTTTCTTTTTCATCTTCAACTACTCTTTCAAAGAAAGTTAAAATGCTATAAATTAATTAAAGGGTAATTATATGAAGATAATTTTTTTCATACAACTTTCACATATCATTAAATGAGTAAATATACATAATATCATAGATTCTAACAAAGTCAAAAGAAGTAATTATTAAGTGATATATAAGGTTGTAAGAAAAAATTGTACAAAAAAGTTAGTTTCTCAATCATTTTCCTTAATTAAATGCATTTTTGTTTTTCATTTTGAGTTTTCTTGGCCGAAACAATAGGTTTTTCATTTTGATTAATTAAATATATTTAACACGTATGTTAAAACTTATACCTAAATGCAAATAATCCAATTCTGTGAAAGATGAGAACGAGTAGTTTCAAAAGTAAAAGCCAAATGCTAGCTAAATGAGGAAAACTTACCTGTTCATTAAAGAGTGTGTGTGCTTGCAGAATGCTTATCAGTGAATCCTTCCAATTTTGGGCAGTTCAGTACTTGCATTTTCTTCAATGTTGGGAATTCAACAATACAATTTCCCAAATAGAATTTGACGAGGATTTCAAGATCTTCTATCTGCAAAAAGTTCAACCGTGGGAAAATCAAACTCTTATTTCCTTCTACATTCTCTTCAAGAATAATCTCTCTCATCCTCTTGCATTTCCTTATCTCAAGGTGTTCAAGCATCTTTTGATCTCTAGCCATAGAAGATGAGAATATGCATTCTAAATTATCACAACCCTCAATGATCAACTTCGTCAGTTCAACCCAGGGAGACACAACCTGCACAACATACAATTAATTCCTTTGAAATTTTTAGATAAAAAGCTTATCATTTTGTTGTTTGCAAAAGATAATATACAATTAGATAATATACAACTCAGCTTCTTCTATAAACCTTATTTTACCATAACACTCCTTTAGTTATAGAAATATAAAAACATAGGAGATTGCTTGGAAAAGAACAAAATGAAACAAAAGAAATTGACTAAATACCTGTTTATTGAAAAGTGTCATGCTGATACTGCAACTACCGTTGAATCTATTCAGTTTTGGTTGATATTGTAATCTCAAAGACTGCAGTGTTCCCAAAATTTTAGCTCAAGTCTTGAGTCAGTTCTTCCGACAATATCATTTTGGCTGCCCTCTTGCTTCTCTTCACCAACAATCTCTCCGATGTTGCCGCAATTTTTTACTCCAATTTCTTGTAGTTAGACAAGCTGTTTGGCTATGGAGGAGGGGAACAAATTCTCCAGCTTATCACAACATTCAACTGTTATCATACAGAATGTGATAAAAGATGTAGATCCTAGAGGGCCATGACATATCTTCTCCATATTTTTCAAATTGTGAAGAACTAATACCTCCAATTTGGGAAATGCATTCTTCACCGGGATAGTGACACCAAGAGTTTGCTTAAGATATATAATTATTTCCGGTCAAATGTCATCCAAATCAAAGTTACTGAATGAGTTATCAATGATATGTTTAATCTCCAGAGCATCTTGGACAAGGAGATAATTGAGTTCTTGAAAACCTTCAAAATCTAACTCATTAACTACATTCTCCATACCATGCAATCCCTTTAGATGTAGTTCGCTTGTCGTCTTTAGCAACTCGCAAACTGAATCCTCAATACTGATTCTTGCATTTAGCTTTAGCTTCAATATTTTTGAATTTTCAAAGGAACCAACCCAGTAGTCCTGCGTATCTCCTATGAAAATCTTTTACCCTGCCAAATTTCTAGAGAACAAGTCTCCTTGGATCACCTTGATATTGCAAATGGCTACCTCTATAGCAGTGAGACTCAAATGCTTTGAGTCAGCAAGGCTGGCGTTTTTATTTTCCTGCTCCTTAACATCCTGCATCGCCCATTGTTCGAAACTGTTTCTCATGTATAGTTCTTCTAATCTGGTCAAACCTGACAAGACACCCGGTTCAGTTACTTTGAGTTCGGTACAATCAGTCAAATCTACCAACTTCTTTGGCAGCTCTTCAATATTACATCCCGCAAGGCTGAGGACTTGCAAATTCTTCAGCTCTCCTATAATTTCGCCCAATTCCTCAACTGTTAACACACTTTGATCCAGACGCAAGGTGTTCAGATTTGTTAGGAGGGAAATTGACCGAGGCATTGACCAAGTTTTAGTCAAACCCAGGACTTTTGAGTTTTCCCATATCCCTAAAAAAGTACGGTGGAATTGGTTTAGAAGGATCCTCTAGAGACAAATGAAAGAAAGTGAGCTCCCGACCGTTCAACTTATCTGGAAGCTGATCATTACCAAAACCATTTGATAAATAAATCCATTTGATGCTTTCCGTTGTTGTCGACCAGTTGTCTAGTTCTACTTCTCCAAAAGCAATTGATGATATAGCAAAATTCCGAGCAAGATCATGCATATCAAAGTGGAGATCGCTGCCACTATCCAGCAACAGAGAAGATTTTCTGAGTTTAGACACCGACTTTGATACTTTAATTTTTGCTTCCTGTATAGAGTTGACTCCATTGTACAAGCCCAAGCCTAGAGCATATTTCGACAAGTCTTCGATGGCTGCATTATGACCCATTAGACAACAAAGCAAGAAAGTTTGTTGGAGTTCCCTGCTTTTCAAGCCATAAATTAACTCCAAGGTTGAACGAAGAAACTCGTAATGAGAGTAGCTTTGTAGCTTTCGATAAGTAGCCTTCCACTTTACTGGATCCGGCTCTTCAAGGCCTTTGCAAGTGTTGCAACAGCAATGCGCAATTTGTTACACTTCTTGACAATCTCTTCGTTTGCATAAAACGGCAAGGGAATACTTTCATACCTGTTGATAGCTATCTTCTTAAGCAGCTCCCAATCTTCTTTTTCTTTTAATGGGTGAATTTCAAATTGTTCTTCAGATAGATTAAATAGAACAGCTCGATCTGTAGAGGTTAGCAGAATTTTGTAAGATGATAAGCTGTTCTGTTTCTCATCTATCAAAGGAAGTCTCTCACGCAACTTTGAATACATTTCTGCCTCCCAAACATCTTCCAAAATTACAAAGACGTCCTTCTTTTCCGTTAGCCTTGCGTTTCCCAGATTGAAAGCTTGTTGAGATGTATGTTCATTAGAAACTCGATGCAGACCCAAGCCATATGCAATTTCATCTTGAATTCTTGGTAAGTCTGGATTCATCCTCACGGTTGCCATAACAATAGCATCGAACAACTTCACTTCTTTGGCTCTTCTTTTAATTTCTCTTACGAGCTTGGTCTTCCCGATACCATCCTCCCCGTACACTGCCACGGTGTTGATGCTAGGACTTTGCAGTGCCTTCATGATATTGTTCAAAACTTCCTTTCTCGATTCAAAGTTCATGAAACCATCAACCGCCTCTTCCACTTTCTCTTGCTGCTGATGGGAAAATTGGATGTTCTTGAATCGACAAATATCTTGCCAATGTTTCACAATGTCTCTGCGTTGCTGCTCTGCCTTCTTGCTAAGTTGGTAAGGATACATGGGATTGAGACACAGCCCAAACAAATACTTCTTCTTCCCATTGGTGCCAATTTTTTCTTTTAATTTGTTTGCCGTTGCTAAGACTCCCTGCTTTTTCCCGCCGGTTTTTGAGATCTACATCACTTATGACTTCTTTTTTCATTTGATCCTTTTTAGTCACATCTTCAGAATCATCTTCAGAATGGAGGGCCACACATTTTATCGCATCGTCCAAGACAGCAACTTGTTCGATCGGAAACTTGAGATTGGACTGCAACTTGTGCCCAGGCATGATGGACGACAATCGGACCAAACACCTTCGCAGAAAAACTTTGTCAGCAATGCAACAAAGGCAAACTGATGTCCGTACTTTCTAATACAGTAATTCTTTCTTCTTTTTTCAAGGTATTGAAAAATATATAGATGATAAAACAAAGCTATACAGAGAAAACAAACGCTAAACAATCAATGGATAAGGTAGTGCAGATTAATTTGAGATAATGGAAGTGGAATAAGTGGGAAAAAGTGTAGCTGCAGTGGGTAGGGATCTGTTCGGGCAGCTTCGCAATCCAACACTGTTGAAGTCCTTAGCTGCTT